TCAAAAACTTGTAGGAAGAAGAAACACTTTAAATTTATCATGCCCGCTGGGTCTTTCCTCTCTCCTTGGTTTTAATAGATTCACACTAAATCAAAACCTGCTGATAGACGTGTGTGCCAATCCACCTTGGAAACCAATTTTCTTACCACTAACAATGTGGAGGGGAGCCCTAGAAATGACTTTCTCAGCTAAATATTTGCATTGTTTTGTTTGTTTGCATGTTGAGTGCGAAATTGAAAGCTTCTGACACAGCCGATTACTACTCATCCATTTCAGAAATCAACTCTCCCTACAGTCCTTCCCAACGCCTTAAAAAAAATCTTGCAGAAGCTCTATCAAAATTATATTTTCTGCTGAATGTGTTTGATAATAAAATAGCACTAAACTGAAAGCTGAACTCTGTTTTTAGTACGTAGTGAGGAGGAGAAGCAGTGGCAGCAGCAACAAAATAGATTTTTAAAAAGCATGGAAAAGCTACTTGTTGTCACCCTTGATGGCACAAAACAGAGAGCAAATACTCCACATGGATGAGAACTGTATCATCGCTCCTGTCCTTGCAAATAGTTTTAGATATGTCAGCCAAAGTTAGATGTCACATTTGGTTTCCAGTAAACAAGGGCAGGGCTATACTTAATTAAACCCATGAGCTCCCATGGTGGCTGGCTCTATCTGTATTCCCTCTTTCACTGTATGTATGTTTTAATAAAAAATTGCTAGAAATGGATGTTTCCTTGTATATGACTATTTTCTAACATCAGTTTGCCTTCTTTTTCATTTGAAGTGTGTTGTCAGAAAATAGCAAGGTTGAATAGCATAAAATGATGTGTGCATCCTTTTGTGGCATTAGACTTAGAGCACAAGTACTCGATATCTACTATATTGCACAATGCCACCATCTAGAGGAAAATCAGAAGCTTTACATGGATTGTAAAGTGATCCGTTTCCCTTTCCACGCCAGTTTCTGTTCTGCCACCTATAGCTTGGGCGACAGCAACACTGGATTTTCATAATAACATTATAAAGCTATCCAGCCACACACTGAGCCAAGCACATGCGTCAGTCCTGTTATGGAGCCTGTCTTTTTTCTCCTACCCATCCCCACAGAGATGATACAGTTCTATGATGGCTTGGAGGCCTTTTTTTCACAGCCTACAACTCAAATAATATTTCCACAACTCTGAAAACAATGAGGACAGCAATATACAAGCGATGCCTCAATCTCAACATGAGGAGAAACAGTCTCCACAGATTGAGGAGGAACAATGTACTCACCCACAGCCACCTTCCTCTCTGTACCAGAAAAAGAAAAAAAATCTATGTGGAATCCTCCTGAGGTTTGGGACAAAGAATTGGATTTCTATACTGAGTGCTGTCATCACTGTGCCCAGGCTGGGATGATCAGCAAGGGACGGTATTGATAATAAAACCTCAGTCAGACAGAGCACGCCGCAGCCTCCAAAACAATCCCGGTGTCAAAGAGGTAGATAAAGATGGAGTGCTCTGGTTGTCATGGAAAAGTTGAACTACGTCCAAGATGCTGAGAGACCATTGTCCAACTCTAAATTTAGTCAGCTCCCAACCAGAGACCCAACTGCCAAATATCAAAAGGAATTACAAAACCTTATGAAAAACTTCTCAGAAAATACATGTCAAGAAAACCAGAGTAACACACAAAAACTTCAGCCAGCTACCTCTGTCTGCTGCCCAAAATACACAGACTGGGCAACCCTGGTAAGCCCATTGTAGCAAGCATTAATGCCACCACTTTGGAGATGTCTAAATACTTGGGATCCATTCTCAAACTTTATGCCACCAATGCATTCTCTCTTATGTAAGGGATACCACAGACTTTCTAAGGAAACTGCGGCCATGGTGGATGTTTACACTCTCTACACATCCCGTCGACTAACAAGCTGTCAGGAATACTGTTCAAAATGAGGACAAAGCCCACCTTGCCACCACCCGCTGTGACTTCATGCTCACACACAACTAATTCACCTTTGACAATAAAAGCTACCTCCATATCAGCAGAACTGACATCAGCCCTTGTATGGCTCCACAGTATACCATATACTGTACCAACATTATTCATTTCTGCCATGGAACAAGGCTTTCTCAACATTTGTACAACTAAATGCCACTAGTTGTCACCTTTAGCCCACAAGTGAGAGCACTTACACTGCAAATTGCAGTAATGTATTACCAATTTTAGTGCCATAAAACATAAGGGTAGGGAATAACTGTTAATAACTTTGTTTAGTTGTTTAGTCCTGTCTGACTCTTCGTGACTCCATGGAAGAGAGCACGCCAGGCCCTCCTTTCTTCCACTGCCTCCCAGAGTTTGGTCAAATTCATGTTGGTAGCTTCGATGACCCTCTCCAACCATCTCGTCCTCTGTCGTCCCCTTCTCCTCTTGCCCTCACACTTTCCCAACATCAGGGGCTTTTCCAAGGAGTTTATTATTAAAAGTGACTCTAAACAGGCATATTTTAAAACTCTTTTGAATACCAAAACTGAGGGGATCAGCTTCACATACTGGGTAATAGGAAGTTCCACAGAGTAAGTGGCTTCTGAACAAAAGGCACAGTCTAAGTGATCTTATTAAATCCAGAGCTTAGTAAACTTACTTATAGGAGGTTAAATACAATTGTTCATTCCAGCTGGAGCCAATCTATTGAATTAATGGGACTTCCCTGAGTGCTGCCTTAAAATTCAACCACTCTACTCTAGATAGTACTAACAATTGGATTTAGCTCTTGGACTACAACTTCCAGAATCCCCCTGGCTGAGGGGTTCTGGGTGTCGGGAGTCCAAGAAAGTAGATTAACAAAATCCACAAACTGAACAGTGTGAAAGGGAACGGCAATGGCATGGGGATCATTCATCTGTGCACTTTAGTTCCACCTTCTGAGGAACAGCCTCAAGGGAGGGCTGAGAGCTCAAGTTACAGCTTCATATTGATTGGCAGGGCAGGACTTGGCTGCTGATTATGGGAAGAACATTCTGCCCAAACATTCCAATTGGCTGCTGATAGTCCTCATGCCAGCACTATACACTGGGTGAAAGAAAAGTCAAGTGAAAAAGAATGGGCGGGTGATATTTTTGTGTGCCCCTCCTTTTTTGGAACAAATCATTAATTTTGAAGAGACTCTTTTCTGGAAGCTGCTGAAAGACTACAAAAAGAGCAGGAAAGCGTCTTCCATTGGGTTCTTCATTGGTTACAAAACAAAAGTACCATCCCTACATTTAATATTTAGAACAGATATTCTTGATTTGGTTTCTCCAAATATGTTGGACTTCAGATTCCATAAAGACAATCAAAATGGTTGGACTGTTAGAAATGATGGCATTTGTAGTCCAACACATCTGAAGGAGATCCTTTCAGGAAAGGATGAACTACAGTATTATCTACCATCACAACCCATCCTTCCATCAATCCATTCATCTTTCATATATTTATTCCACAAGCACAAAAACATTAAAACATTCCACCAAAGGAGATTAAAGACTATTGGGAAAAAAGCCACCTGAACAGCCAGAATCCTGTGAGTGATTTATGTGTGCCTAAGTTAAATTGGGTCACTCACTATGATGAATAGCAACTAACTAACAAGGTGCCAATCTTATTATGAAGAGGATGATTAGACACTTGTAGAATATTGACAAGCTTGCACAATTGGATGAGTGCCTAATAATGCAACTGGCTCCTCCTAAGGCAGCAGAAATTCACAGAGGTGATTTATGCCGTTTAATTCATGCATGCATAAGTCACCAATATGGAAACATTCTTTACAAACAGATCAAACACAATAAAAATGCTTTAAAACCACTTTTGTACACCCAAGGCCATATGGAGCAATGTTGTCTTGATGGCTGGTTGAAACTCAAGATTGTGGCCACAACAGAGAGCTTCACATAAAGTACTGAGCCACACTACCCAAACTTTCCTGGTGTAAGTGATTTCCAAGAGATTCAAGTGCAATGCTGGTTGGGGAAATCTTTCTGTCTGGTCCCCACTCAACACTGGGAGCCTGTCTTCCCCTTCCCCTCCCCAACCAGGGAGTTGAAAACCAAAAGCCAACCTTGTGACACAGTGATTAAACTGCTGTATTGCAACCAACACTCTGCTCACAAACTAGAGTTCAATCCCACGTAGCCAGCTTGAGCTTCATTCAGCCTTCCATCCTTCCGAGACTGGTAAAATGAGTACCCAGCTTGCTGGGGCAGGGGAAGGAAATGTGTAACCTGCATAATTAAAAATTATAAGCTGTCCAGAGAGTGCTTTAAGTCAGTATATGAGCAGCACACTTTGCTTTCTAAGATAGGAAAACTCAAATGCCTGCAAAATGTTCAGGTTCCTGAGGCAAGGCATTTTCTTTAGTAGTAATAACTCTCTTTCTCCTCTGAATGACAAAACAAACATTCATTATTAAAGATATTACAAAAGAAAAAGTTCAAAAACAAATTAAAACTTCAAAGAAAACCAGAAAGATATGAAACAAATCCATAATCAAGACTATAAGAGACTAAACAATTGTAGAATAGCCCTCACAAAAAACAAGCTATCCTACACTAATACTTACAATACAGTAAATTTGTCACATGGTCCCAGAACATATACAGAGTATAACTACTACTACTACTACAACAACATTCTTCTAAGAGAGCTACTACTACTACTACTACTACTACATTCTTCTAAGAGAAACTAGGCAGAACTGCTCTATTTACTGAGATACTTTTATACCCGTCACCCACCTTTCTTGAGCTTTGATACCATCCCACCAATCAGGTCCAAAGTTAGCTTGAATCTTCTAGAAGGGAATAACTCCCCCCCCCAAAAAAAATAACTATGCTCAACACACTCTTCACCTCCCAGTGGCCCAGGTGAAATAATTTTTATTCCTAGAGCCTTTTTGACCTTGGTTCTCACCAGATTACAGCCAGCTGCAAATTGTCTCCAAATTAACAGGAACTTGTTCTGCCCTCCCTTCCACTTCACTTGGACACAAGGCAACAGGCCCAGATCCTAACAGGGCAACTGGAACTGATCAACCCCTTTTGGCCAATTCCTTCACAAAAGCTCATCAGCAATGGAATCAGCCGGACTTCCCTTGAAATCTAAGTACTACAGAGGAAGTTTTTGTCTTGTGGTCAAAGCTGAGACTATAGACTATCCCATCCATCCACTCTCTTCAATAATTAGCAGTCATATCATCAGAAGAGAATGGATACTGTACTTCCAGCAGTGATGGGGGCAGAGAAGCTCTTGGAGAGTTAGCTACTGGGCAACAGTAGTAGCAGTGGTGAAAAGTGACCCGGGAAGCAAATCTTTCACAGCTAATTCTTGTTATTACTGTGCAGAAAATGGTAAATTATTTCTAAATATTTGATACCTTGAAAATCCTACTATGAGAAAAATGTCCTTTGAAAATTCTCCACTCAGTTTGCTGGCCGCTAGTGAAACAGGTTGGTACAGTTTGGTAAGATTTTGTCAGATAATCTCTGTGGTAAAATGATAGACAAATTCAGAACACTTGAAATTTATCAGGAAATGCTCTCTATCAGCTCCAGTTACATTGCTTTCAATTCATTTCTATTTTAATATTGTTTTTTAAAATAATAATGTGTTTGCTGAATTGCATTTGGACTTTGTACATTTTTTTGTTTCTAACTTATCCCTACTTTCAGTCTTACTGTGAGCTGCCTTGAATCCATTAATGTATTGATTAAATAAACAGTAAAATAAATAAATAAATGAACAAACATGATATGACAGCTATATAAAAGTGACAACTGAGGAAACAACAAATGTCTTGTCTGTTCATGAGAACTGAGTATTGGTGTGTGCACTTCTGCCCGGGTTGCCCATGGGCAAAACAAACAAACTAAAACCCAAGGCCAATAGAATTGAGAAGGATTTATTGGTTCCAGTTTCATTGGAGTAAGTTTCAAACTGGCGGAAGAAAAGCAATGATCTGTGTTGCAAATGTCTGTAGTTATAGAAAAGGAGAGGAGTCTGACCATGCCTCCTATTAGCGACCAAGGCAATACTTCTCAACAGAGACAGAAGGTTAACGTGTGATTTTAGCAAATCCATTTTCAAATGTGAAAAAAGGAGGTGTAAATCTTAAAATAAACTTTAGAACAGGATGTATCTGTCTGTACATGGACACAAAAGATCCCAATGTATCCAACAGATTGTATGATGTAACGACTGCATTTAGAGCTGGAACTAAGCCATATAGACAGCGGAGTATTCAAGCACTCACCTGCGAGAATGATATGAGAGATAATTCTTAAAATTCAAAGTACTTCCTCTGGGTTTTTTCTTTTTTCTTTTTCAAAACAGGTCCTCTGATGTTCTTTCGATTAGTCTGATGATCAAAGAAAGATAGGAAACTTAGCACCTTTGAATGTTATTTCAGTTGACGCTTAAACTGTTTTGTCAACTGTAGCACGACATGTAAATAGATAGGAATGCAAAGTCAAACATCAGCTTAACTTTATTACACAGAGGATTTAGTGGAAGTCAGACATTCCCTATCCTGTCTATAGAGGCAGCACCACAGATGGGATTTTGTCATAGTTTGTTCTTGCTCTTGTGTGCCCTCGGATTGGAACCAATTTATAGCAACCCTAATAGGGTTTTCAAGGGAAGTGAGTTATTTCAGGAGTGGCTTTGCCAGTTCCGCTCCTCCAGTGAGTTTCCTTGGCAGAGCCAGAACTTGCATCCAGGTCTCCCGAGTCCTAGTCCATCACCCAATTCACTGTACCACACCGGGTAGTCTCCTAGTTTGTCGGCACATCAAAAAGTCAAGCCAATAGTTAAATGTCAGTCACACAGAAACAAGAAGTTTGCCTTGCGCAATCCTGTGTCAGTGCTTTTATTTTGAAGTAACAAGTTGCCCGTTGACACTGAGTCACACAAACACAACTCCCAGAAGAAGAAATAAAGAAATCCTCGCTATTGGCCCAAATAGTTACTTCTCCTGATTCATCTGAAGAAATATGGATATTGCAGCAAAACTGCAAGCCACACCTCATGCTCATGCGGCAGAATTGGTTGCTCTGAGCATGAGCTAAGTGCATTATCTTAGTTTTAAAATTCATTCATTCGTATTAATAGAAATGAGCAAATTAGTTAGCTGTTCCTAACGTTAAGACAGGTGAGATTTAATCTATTGTGTTCTTGTGAATTAATTTGTTGGTCAAATTGTTAGCTTTTATAGTGATCGTGGGATTTACAGAGAATGCCAGGTTTGGTTGTTACTGTTGTCATGGCATATTCCAAATATTCCACAATGTGGCAGTTTCCACATTG